GTGTATGGGTGTGTATTTATTTATGTATATATTAATATATGGATGTTTAAAGGTATGTGTGTTTAATTTGCAGTCTTTATAAATAATTATGTATAAAGAAAGATAAGATATAGGCCTAGTAATATGTGAGTAAATAAAGAAGGTAATAAGACCTAATGCTGTTTGTTAAATGTATTGTATAAAGTATGTATATAAAAGGAGGAAAAAATATTGAAAATAAATGAAAAAAAGACAATAAAAGTGGGTTACCCCCACAAAAGACAAAAATTAAAAAACTACTAGGGAATTCCTACTATTATTATTAGTTCGTGAGTAGCTTTATACTTGTGCATGCACATCAAATACTATTTCGTACATGTACGCGTGAGTGACATTCCCTAAGGCCTAGGCCTACATTATTTTTTAGATAATCTATGCTAATTATTATTTATTTTAAATTTATTTATTGTTCTTTTAAGATAGAAAGGGGGGTCTAAGTCAGCGGATGTTTCATCCTATATTCGCCATCATATATTGCGGTCTACTACAGTTTGTTTACTTGATGTTTAAAAATGCACAAGTACAATATATAGGTACAGATAGGATAATTAAATAATGGTGACGATAGGCCTATTGATGATGATGACTACGAATAAACTGTCCTATAATAAACATAGGCCTAGTTGATTTCTCGTAACCAGTGGGACTTGTTTTCTATTATACTGGCATCACCCCACTAAAAAGATACCAGAACTACTGGAACATTGCTTATGTCGCATCGCAGGTATCAAAACCGCTCTGAAAATTAATATTCATGAATTTATTGCCGAATCCTATAGCGCCACCAATCGACACTTCCTCAAACGTCTAGGGAAAAAAATTCGCAGGCGGCACCCATCCAGCGGAGCTCATGATCCAGGGCCCATGGCCGCTCTCGGCGGCCCTGGCACTGTCAAACTTAAATTTGAATACAGTTTCCTTTTTTCTCCATTAATTTATTTATTTATGCCCCTCCCCTAGGCAATATTAACATATGGGGATTTTCGGGCGCCAGTCCCAGGCCCACAGGCCCCAATGGGGAAACATAGGCCCCCAAACTCCAGGAAAAAATCACCGAAAATTTGGTTTTATGTTTTAGCCACCGAGTATTTAGGCCCACTTGCAATTACAGCCCAAGGCCCCATAGCCCTTTAATCTGGCCCTGTCCACCCCCCCCCCCACCCAAATCCGCCTATGTTCCCCTTACCCAAATCCGCCTATGTTCACACGAATTTTTTTAACACTGGCATGGCATAAGCAGGCTGTGTGTAACTATGTGTCCTTTGATCTTATCTGCCACAGTGCTCTATAAAACGACATAGGCCTATCTGAAGTGATAGTGCATCTAACGTTGGTGTACATGGTGTTACCTCGATATTTTTAGTACTTCAGATGGAGGTCTAAAGAGTATACATATATTTCAAAATATAGGCATTATATTTATGGGTGTGATTTTGGTCATTGAGCATGAGAGCGTGAGACAGACCTCAAATGCGTGAGTCGCACGCCGGAATGTGTAAGACTTATTATGCATGATCCCTGTAGTGCAATTTCTATATTTGTATATTTAGGTCAGAAAAACTATTTGTTTGTTATTATAACAAAAAATTGTGATGTGCTTTACAATTCGCTGGCAATTCTAATACTGATACTGATACTCTTTTCCTTCAAAATAGAAATGTTAAAAAAGATGTGTTTTAGAAAATATGCAACAAAACAATAATAAGAATAAGAATAATATTAATAATAATAATAATAATAATATGTATAATAATATGTATAATAATAATGATAATGATAATGATAATAATAATATCGTAAAACCTCGACTTGAAGCCCAGTGGGCTTAATCTCAAAATGAAGCCCATCTCGAATTGAATCACCCTCTTTAGTTTGCAAAATTTACCATGGCCTTCTTTTCAAGAGAGCATGGCCTTCTTTTCAAGAGAGCATGGCCTTCTTTTCGAGATAGTACAGTGCATACACTGTACATAAATTTCAGAAAATAAAATAAATTAAATACATTCTTTTCGAGATAGTACAGTGCATACACTGTACATAAATTTCAGAAAATAAAATAAATTAAATACAAACTTGGTTTATATTAGAGTAGTTTAGGTGATACAATACAAACACTGTAGATGAATTTCAAAAAACAAAATAAATTAAATACAAGCTTGGTTTATACAGTAGTTTAGGTAATTTAATGCCAGTTAAATACACTCCATGATACAGATTGATGTGACAGTGCCTTATTTATTGTTTTATAGTACAAATTCACAAATTTTACAGCATTCATTTTGAAAAGAAACCCCTCTCTACTTTGCAAAAGTAGTTTCGAAAAGAAGCCAATCCATAGTTTGCAAAAAAAGAAGCCCAAGACTTCAATATGGTGATGGTGATGCTGATGATAATGATGATGATAATAATGATAATAATAATAATAATAATAATAATAATAATGAGAATAATAATAATAATAATAATAATAATAATAATAACAATAATAATAATAATAATAATAATAATAAATAATGGTGATGATGATATAATTACGATGATGAAGACAATAGTGATGAATTAATAACAACGTTTGCACTTCCATTAACTTTATTTTAAATAATCTACAGGCATAATAATTGTTTATGTACACACCCAGACCAAAACTATTATGAAGATTTACCTTTTGATACTATAAACTCAAAACTGCATTGACACGTAGTTTTGAATATAATTTTCAGCGCACATGAATGTTACAAGTGAAAAAAGAAAAACATAAACATAAATGGTAAGCAATAGTTAGTTCACATGCCTACTCTTTCTATTTTGGAACTAATGGCCACCCATATTTCTCGACTGATATATACCATTAAATTTGTCCTAACATCCAAGGTAAAATACTGTAAACTAAATTCAGCTAAATATTGCTAAATTAGGGATTATACTTTCATACTTATGCTCAAGTTTCTCAAATAGGACAAACAAAATACTTTACTTTTCTTTTAATTGAATTTTAAATCAATCCAATCAATTTTAAATTATATATCCAACCCAGCTGGCCTACTCGCTGTCGCCACCCTTACAACAACAACAACAACAACAATAACAACAACAATAATAATAGGCCTGATAATAATGATAATAATATTAATAACAATAATAATAATATAAATAATATTAATATACTATATCAAAAATAATATATCAAAAATAATAATAATGATAATATTAGTAATAGTAATATTAATAATATTAATTATAATAATAATTCAATAATAATTATAATAATTAATATTATTAATAATAATAATAATAATAATAAATAATATTCAAGCTTATAGTAAACACGAATACAAAAGTCAATTACAATGGCAGTTGAAGGAGAAGAGTTAATGTATTGTCATTAATATGACTAAGTACATATTATTTTCAACACAACATGTGGTAATGTATGGTATATATAGTAAACAAATTATATCCAAATTGATATTCCCTGCCAAAAACAATATAAACATGTTTAAATGGTGCATTTATACTGCAATCGGTCAGATTAGATGACATTAGTTTATTTAATGACAAGGATGACAATCAGCGAAAAGGTCCATTACCAGTCAGATGCTGCACCAACTGGGGTATGAATTAAAATATAACATAAACATAAATGGTAAGCAATAGTTAGTTCACATGCCTACTCTTTCTCGACTGATATATACCATTAAATTTGTCCTAACATCCAAGGTAAAATACTGTAAACTAAATTCAGTTAAATATTGCTAAATTAGGGATTATACTTTCATATTTATGCTCAAGTTTCTCAAATAGGACAAACAAAATACTTTACTTTTCTTTTAATTGAATTTTAAATCAATCCAATCAATTTTAAATTATATATCCAACCCAGTTGGCCTACTCGCTGTCGCCACCCTTACAACAACAACAACAACAACAATAACAACAACAACAACAACAACAATAATAATAATAGGCCTGATAATAATGATAATAATTTTAATAACAATAATAATAATATAAATAATATTAGTAATAGTATATCAAAAATAATATATCAAAAATAATAATAATGATAATATTAGTAATAGTAATATTAATATTAATAATAATAATTATAATAATTCAATAATAATTATAATAATTAATATTATTATTATTAATAACAATAATAATAAATAATATTCAAGCTTATAGTAAACACGAATACAAAAGTCAATTACAATGGCAGTTGAAGGAGAAGAGTTAATAAATTGTCATTAATATGACTAAGTACATATTATTTTCAACACAACATGTGGTAATGTATGGTATATATAGTAAACAAATTATATCCAAATTGATATTCCCTGCCAAAACAATATAAACATAATGGTTTATGCAGTATAAATGGTGCATTTATACTGCAATCGGTCAGATTAGATGACATTAGTTTATTTAATGACAAGGATGACAATCAGCGAAAAGGTCCATTACCAGTCAGATGCTGCACCAACTAGGGTATGAATTAAAATCCAGGCTGGCACACTTACCTGCATTTTCTCAGGTATACGCGCTTTTGTCACAAACACACGTTTTTACTGTACGTTTACGCAGTCGTTTTTACATGACCTAAGGTCGAACACATACTGCACAGTCTTCGACCGTCGGTTAACGCGATAATAGGGAGCTTTCGATTGCACGACGACGGTAGGACGTAGAACGCAATGACGTCACTAAAAATAATCTGCGCATGCGAGAACGTTAAGGTCACCTCGTCGAGTAGATTCGTCTAGAACGCAATTTGGCCAAATCTACGTGTGCAAAGAGCGTAGGACGCCAGGTAGGACGGTCACGTATGAGTGATTCCGTTCTAGCGTCGCGTCGTCCGTCGCACAAATCGAAAGGTCCCTTTTATGGAAAACGCAACGCTCGCATAATCGTTTTTTAATGCCAACTACACTCAGCAGACGACGTCGCACCGTCCAGCGCTTACAGCTGGGAATGAATTTGGATTCGTCGGCCGACGGTCGTACGACGCAGTGTGTGAACGGCCATAGCAACGATATCCAAGGGGCTTAGTGGAATGGACAACTCT